CACCACCTTACACTTGCCCTTAAATGAAATTAAAAAAGGATCTAATGAGGGGGTTTAGTTTGGTCCATAACAATACTGACACACTGGCTATGAAACATAACACACACACAGTTTTTTGCAAAGATAATAAATTATCCTGAACAAATATATATGGTTGAACATAGGCATATGTTGTCAGTTCAATAATTATAAAAACAAGTAAAATATAATTTACAAAACTAACATTTCAAAGAGCTTTGATCATTTGTCCTGATCTGGAACATATACCAAATTGTTACACAAAGATATGCAAATTGTTCCCTATTGCACTTATCTGATAACTTGGCTGTCTTGCTGCTGGCTCCTTTCACTCAGCATTGCTGCAAATTCATTGTTGGAGTGTTCTTCCTCAATCTTCTTGTGCCTAAATGGTATAGGCTACATTGATTTGAACTAGTTTCTGTTCCTTTGCAATGTTGTGTAAAGACCAGATCTCTATTTTGTTTATTTTCGGACAGTGGACAAAAAATGGAAGATCTTGCTTTAAACCAAGGAAACCGCGCAAAGATCATGTTTACCTGGAGCATATTGTGAGCTGTGTGTAATGTTGATATTTCCTGGAACAGCGACAGCAAAAGCAGTTGGTCAACACATGATCTTTGATTCAGTAATATGTATCATGCTGTCTGCTAGATTGGTTGAACATGGATAATGGTGATATAAATGATATATATCCCTCCCAACATCATACATGTCTTAAAATTGTCTGTCAGTGTACTGTGACCTATTATTTTGGCGCAATTTATTTGGTATTAGAGCCGTTTACCCTTGAAAATGACTTCTCCTGATGTAACTAGTTCACTTCAGCATGTCCAAAGTGAATGAATGTTGGCAGATACTTCGTTAATAGTGCCAGGCCATCTCTCATTAATGAATCTATGGAGATCTTGTAGTTGCTTATCCTTAGCAGTTTAGTATTTTCAACCATTCACACAATTCTGGCCAAAATGATTAACCTTGAGAATGTCTTCAACTTCATAGTCTAGAGCATTAATGTCCGAATCAAGCAGAATATTTTGATCCTTGTGAAGGTTGAGTAATCTGCTCAGCATGTTAGAAGTAATTATCCTGGTACCTGGCTCACTTCAAAATCACCTCACTTTCACTTCAAAGGCATATCCTTGGAGATTGTTGACTGAATAGATTGCGGCATGTGATTTTTAGCTTTTTTTGTTGTCCAATCTTTTCAGGACATGCATTAATGGTTGTAAAAGCTTCTGATTGCCTATGTGTGATATTAACAATATAGAAAGCTTGTCCATCTTCTGAAATTTGCCTTTCACTTGATTGACTGTGAACTTCATTGATTTGTTTGCATTTGAGTACCTCCTTAGCACTTTCCTTTCTGGCAGTGTTGTGGTGTTGTACAATCTTGTTGATCACTTGTGTAATGTTCTGGTGTCTGGCTTGGCTTTTAGAAACAGATATCCTGCATATGTATGGCCAATATCCCTTGGTGCCACATGCTACACAGATTTCAAAAAAAGCTGACAACATCTGTTACAGATTTTGATGAATTGATGTGCTATGTTGATTGTACTAATAGTGCACATACAAAATCTTGTTTTCTTTATTCATTCATGGGATGAAGGCGTTACTCAATGGGCCAGCATTTATTGTCTAACTTTCGTTGCCTTAAGAAGATGCTGGTGAGCTGCTCACTTGCGCTGCTACAGTCCATTTGTTATAGATACTCCCACAATATAATTAGAGAGGGAGTTCCAGGATTTTGATCTCATGACACTGAAGGAACAATAATTTGTTTCCAAGTCAGGATGGTGAGTGTCTTGGAGAGGAAAGTGCGGCTGATTGTGTTCCCATGTATCCGCTGTCCTTGCCCTTCTAGACGGTAGTTGTCATGAATTTGGAAGATACTGTCTACCAAGCGTTGGTGAATTGCTGCAGAACATATTTTAGGTGGTACACATTCCTACTGCTGCTGCTGTGGAGGGACTGAAGGTTAGAGGGTCCAACTTAATAAAGATTAACAGGGTTTTGTTTTCATTTGGTAAGTTTTATGAATGAACAGAGTAAACTGTCGTGTTTTAGGTTTCGGATAGAAGGATCCAGACATTCTTTTTGGCCTAGTAGAAACACACATAACTTGGAGTAAGCTATTTTGACTTCAGGCTTCATAGAACTGAAGCTAGCTGTTAAAAGAGTTGTTGCTATAGACAAGAGATTATTTCAAACTGTTAAGACATATATTACCTCAGGGTAAGGATTTTAGTTTTGATGTTCCCGACTGTTTGGTTAATACCTTGAAGCTGTTATTTGAAGCTGAGAAAGTCTAAACTTGGTTGTATGAAGACTCAAGGAAGAGGCTATCAGATTACTGAGAATGGAAATTGAAGTCACAGTTAAACTAAGCCTTCTAGATATGACAGAGAAGGGCATTCTTTTTGGTATGAATGATGTAAAGGAGTGCCATTGAGATTAGTAGCATTAAACCACATCTCTCAAAATCTTCAAACTTGCGTTATATGTAATAATGCATAATAAACTTCTGTTTTATTGTGAAAACCAAATCCGCAGCATTGCATGTTTGTGTTTCAATGATAGATCACCCAAAAAACATGTAAATTCTGCCCTATTAAGCCAGATTTCTGTCTGGGATTTGACCTATTCACTAACACTATCAGCTGCGATCGTAACATTACACACACAAAAGGCAGGTAAATTTGATTAGTTTAGTTTGGGAAACTTGGTCAGTAGGGATGAGTTGGACTGAAGGGTCTGTTTCTATGCTGTATGACTCTATGACACCTCACTTTTCTATGTTAAAACAAATTTTGAAACCGATCTTTTGGTCATCTGATCTGATATCTCCATATGTGGCCCAGTGTTATGCCTTGTTTATTAAAGCTTTCCATTCATGAAGCACCTTGGTACATCTCATCACAGTAAAAGCAATATAGAAGTATAAGCTATTTTTGTTGTTGTGAAGAGCTTACTGGCATCCTGAGGTTTTGAAAGATGTTATACAAATACAAGTTATTCCCACCATCAAATCTTGTCTTAACCTTTTCTACCGTAAGGAGATCCCAGCTTTTTCCATCACTAAGAGGTACCGATGTCTCTCATCCTCAGTGGTGGCTCATATGGTTGTACTTTTGCCTCTGAGCTACAAGGTACTAGGTTCCAGTAGCAGCAGTGTGTCCTATGTACAGAAATTCACCAAATATTCTCAGACAGCACCTTCCAAACCCACGACCACTTCTATCTAGAAGGACAAGGGCAGCAGATACATGGGGGTGGGGTGGGGGGGAATACCATCATCTTCAATTTCCTTTCCAAGCCACTCACCATCCTAACTTGGAAATATATTGCCGGTCCTTCACTGTCACTGGGTCAAATTCCTGGAATTCCAACCCCCGACCCAAAAACATTGTGGATCATCTGTCCCTCAATCAACATTACACAAAAATCTGGCCATTCTCCTAAAGGCGAGACACTGCAGAATCTGGAAATCTGAAACAACCACAGAAATTGCTGCAGAAATCCAGCAGGTCTGGCACCATCTGTGGAGAGAGAAACAGAGTGAATGTTTCAAGTCATAGAGTCGTATAGCACAGAAACTCACCATGCCAACCAGGTTTTTCAAACTAAACTAGTCCCATTTGCCTGTGTTTGGCCCATATCCGTTTTAATCTTTACTATTCATAAACCAGCCCAAGTGTCTTTTAAATGTTGTAACTGTACTGGCCTCTACCACTTCCTCTGGAATTTCATTCCAGATAAGCACCATCCTCTGTGTGAAAGCCCCTCAGGACTCTTTTAAATCTTTCTCCTCTCACCTTAGACCTATGCTCTCCAGTTCTGAACTTCCCTACCGTAGGGAAAAAGAGCTTGACTACTCACCTTATCTATGCCTCTCATGATTTTAGAAATCTCCATAAGATCACCCTTCCAGCTCCTACACTCCAAGAAGAAAAATCCCAATCTATTCCAACTCCCCATATACCTCAAACCCCCCAGTCCAGGTAACATCATTGTAAATCTTTTCTGTAATCTTTCTAATTTAATAACATCCCTTTTATAGCAGGGCAACCAGAACTGTATGCAATACTCCAAAAGTGGAATCACTAATGCCCTGTACAGCCACAACATGAAGTCCCAACTCCTATATTCAACGCTGTTTAGATATGAAACAAAAAACTGCAGATACTGAACAAAATAACTCCAAAGAGGTCAGCATCCTGTCACCAAGTCACCCTTTATCTACACGTGTAAAGTCCTTGACACTGATCCAACTCCATCAGAGACAGCTCTCACTGTGTCAGAATGTCTAACATGCCTCTTTTTATCTGTCAGCCAGGGCTCAGATTAACAGCCCCAATAGGGGAACTCATATTTTATGAGTACACCTGGCTGACCCCCTTATAATCACAACACTGAACATCTGAAACAAAAACAGAAATTACTAGAGAAACTCAGCAGGTCTGGCAGCATCTGTGGAGAGAGAAACAAAGTTAACGTTACAGGTTATAACAACAGCAATTGCTGGAGAAACACAGCAGATCTAGCTGCATCTGCGGAGAGGGGAAAAACGGTTATGACTTTCATGTCTGGTATGGCTTCTTTGGACACAATATAAAACAAAGAGCTGCTGATGCTGAACATCTGGAACAAAAGCAGAAATTGCCGGAGAAACTCAGCAGATCTGGCAGCCTCTGTAGAGAGAGAAGCGGAGTTTACAGTCTAATGACTCTTCTTCAGGACTTCTGCATGTTGTTTCTGGCCATTCTCACATGTTTTTATCCTGAATGTGGTTAGCAATTAAACAGAATAGGAATGTTAGCCTGTGATGTCGAAACAATTGAAGTAGGCGCCTGTACTTTAGTAATGTGAACTGGGGGCAAAAGAGAAAAGGAATGGGAGAGGGGGAAACAAGTGGACTACAACTCCCAGCATGCCCGCTGTCTCTGCGCATGTGCACCCTCCTATGGTTGCTTCCCGTCTGCGCCAGACCCCGGGGTTCTGGGTGGCTTTTTTTTTTCGCTCGAGCAAAAATGAACGCGTGAGGCAGCGTCAGAAACTGCAGGTAAAAAAGATTGCAATTCTCTGCCTTCCATTTCATACTTTCTCATCTTTGCACGGTTTTAAATGCACCAAGGCCATTCTCCGGACGGAAAAAAACAAAACGTTTCGCAACCTCTTTATTCAAGTTGGGAAGAAAAAAAATCTTTTGTTTGGCGGGGGGGGTTCGGTAAAACTTCAACATGTCTGGCCTTTTGTGGCAGTTTCCTTCATGTCATTCTTCCCTGTCCCCTTCTCGTTACTCCTGAGTTTATTGCTAACACAGAGAAGGGAAAAATACTGAGGAATTTTACTTAAAATTGAAGCGTGTCCTGAGGGAAGAACGTCGGGGAAACATTGTTGCTCTTTTCGGTAGCGATTCTGGTTTGTGTTGGAACGCGGAGCGGGGGGGGGGTAATGTTGAATGAAAAAGCAACATTGTGTCGAAAATGTCAATAGTATCCTTTTCGGTTTCCCTCCCCGGATACAGTGTTGCTGTTTAATGCCAGCGTGTATTCGCGGACGTCTCTTGGTGCATTGCTCTGTTGTTTCTCCTCTTTCCACCTCCGCCCTCTCTTCACGTGATATTTTATGCGCCTGACCCCCTTGTTTTCTATGTATCTTCATCCAAAAATAAGTATGATACGTATTTCTTACCCCCCCCCCCCCCTTAAAGGCAGCATCATTGTTTGAGGAAATGCGTCGTGTTAATATGGAAGTCAGGCCAAACCCACGTCTCTGTCTGTTAGCCTGCCAGTGCTCCTAATTCACGTTCACGGGTCTCAATGCTACTGCCGCTGGAATGCTGTTCGTCTTCCTCCAGGCCTGATCGTCTGGGTTTCTCTGTGTCATCTCTCAGATGGGGAGGGGGGCGTGTGGAACATATACGGTATTTAGTGGGGGGGGCGGGTTAATTCGCCGTTGGATGGGATCCGTCCTATTCTTGCAATTGCATCACCGGCCATCGGCCTGATTTTTGTTTTCTTTCCCTGTACTTGTACGACCGCTTTTGTGGGGTGTGGGGGCGGGTGGGTCGGCTGGAACATCTGCAACACGAAAAAATCTCCCACACACACACACACACATAGATGTCCTTTTGCACGCGGTCCTCTTAGAATCCCTACAGTGTGGAAACAGGCCCTTCGGCCCAACAAGTCCGCACCGACCCTCCAGAGCATCCCACCCAAACACATCCCCTTCTTATGCAGAAAGATGTTAATATCATGTATGTGTCTGATTCTGGCCCCTTTTTTTTTAATGAAAAGGGGGTGTATTTATCGCACTTTTTGCTCTGCAGTGTTATTTTTTTCACGGGCGTTGTTGGGTTTAGGCGAAAGTAATCTCTGGTGGATTCCTCGGTTCAGTTCACCATGGTGACGGTGACGCGAAGTGGACGCATTTCAAATAGATTATTAGCATCAGGTTCACACTTTGCAGGCCGGCACTGTCCTAAATTGTCATTGCTTTGTTTACAGACATAATAGGACTGGAGAATGACAGAAGTAAGACCAGTGTCTAACATGTTTGAACACCCCTTATTGTTTGTACCTGTGATGTGGTGCTGGAAATTAATTGCAGCTACATCTCTAGCAGTACAGCGATGAGCCCAGTTGGTTCCTGATTGATTTGGTTAAAAAAACCCAAAGAACTGTGGATGTTGTAAATCAGAGACAAAAATAGAAATTGATTTCGTTTCAGTTTTGTTGTGAAAAATTAATTATTCAATGTTTTCTTTCAGTTCTGTAAATGGTTTTTTTTTTGCTTGAATTGTTAGATCACATCAATTCTGAATTCAGAACAGACAAGTAATTAACACACTGTCATGATCATCATGAAACCAAATAATCCTTGTGTATTTTAAAGGAGCAGAAGGCCATTTAGCCCCTCAAGGCTATTCCATTATTCGGTGAGATCAAGGATGGTGTGTGACCTAACTCTACACCTCTACCATGTTCTTTGTCCCTTAATGCCATTGCTTAGGAAAATCTATAGGTCTTGGTTTTAAAATGAAGAATTGATCATCAGTTGTTATCTGTGAAAGAGTTGCAAACTTCTATCAGTCTTTGCATATTTCCTAATTTTGCTCCCGAAAAATCTGGTGCTTGTTTTATATGCCATGCTACATTGGTCACGTTTTCCTGAACCAGTTGAAATAGAGTCAGAGATCTACAGCATAGTAAAAGGCTCATCACATCTGCACTGATCAAAAACAACCACCTAAGTAATCTAAGCCCAACAGTTTATCTTTTTATCAACTCTGTTGGCTCCCTTTCTTATCTTGAAAACATCAATACAATTTCTTATTTTTTTCTGAATTCCTGGCAATTTTAGGATTAGAAGCATTTACCCTCGGTCTGCTGTTTGTGAATGGAATGTGGATTCTTCATACCTTTTTGAAGTTGACCTGTCAATCTTCGAGATTGAGACAAGCATTTCTGCGGAGGTTTTTCATGTGGTTTTTGTTTCCTTTCTATTTAGGGACTTAGAAATAAGGAACAGGTGTCGTGCCCTTGATTCTGGTTGTCATAGAGTAAAATATAGATCTTATTCAATGTTGCCACTCACCCTGATAACCATTTACCCCCGAGAATCTGTTAACTTCTGTTCAACAACTCTACTTCTGACATTTGTGAGAAAGAGTTCCAAAAGTTCATAACCCACTTGAAAAATAATTTTCATTTGTCTTCAGTGGGACACACCTTGCGTTGAAGCAATATTCCCTGGTTTTAGATTCTCACAAGAGGAAAGACCCTCCTCATCATATATGCTGTCAAGATCCCTTAGGATCTTGTATGTTTCAATCAAGTTGCTTCTTATCTTCTAAGCCCTAGCAAATACAAGCCTTATCTGTCCAGATTTTCCTCATAATTAAACTTACTCCTGCCAGGTATACTAGAGAAGGTCTTACCTGAACTTCATTCCATTCTTTCTTAATGAAATGGACCAGTACTGGACACAGTACTCCAGATATGGTCCCACCAATGCCGTAAATGACTGAAGCATTACTTGCCATGCTTTGTCTTCAATTCCCTGTTGCAATAAACAATAGCATTCAAAATGTTTCCTACTTACTTGCAAAAGGTTAACACATAAGTGTAGCAATTCATGCACTAGGATGCCCAGATCCCTCTACATCTCAATTCTACAATATCTCTCTCATCCCTGAGATAATGCTGTTTTATTCTTGCTAAAATTAATAATTTCACATTTTCCCACAGTTTCCTCTATTTGTCAGAAGTTTACATAGTACGTAAACCTCTTAAAGTTTTATTATGCCCTAATTACAGTTTACTTTCCTACCCACTTTTTGTGTCACTAGCAAATTTAGCAGCTACATCTTTGATCTTATCATCCACATTATTGATACTGATTGTAAAAAGTTGAGGCCCCAACACTGAGCAACTCACGGTGGGTGGCTCTGGCTGGGATGCGCTTCTGACTTGATGGGCTGAATCGCCTCTTTCTGCATTGTAGAAGTTCTGTGATTCTATGATCTGTTCAATTTAGCTGACATCTTATTTTCTATTGATTTCCCAATTTTACTGCATAGAACCAACACTCACTTCGCAAACTCTTCTACTACATAGATATCTATTGAACCCTTAATATTTGTTTTTATATATCTAGCAAGCTCTCTTTCAATTTTCCCTGCTTATTAATCTTTATCATTCTTTACTGTTTTTGTATTCTGTTGGCCCACCTCTCCTCTATGTATGACTAAATTTATTGCTGAAGAAAAGCACAACTTTTTTTGTCAAAAGCTTTTTGTGAATCGTCCTATTAAGCACAAAACAAGAAAAACCATGTAACTGGGTAACCAAGATTTATACAGTATGAACGGAGAGTTCTGATTGTGTGGCAAATATACTGATTGCTAGAGGCATTTGAATAGTGAAGACAGTATTTACTGACAACTGATAGTTAACAGCCAAGCTTTGTTTAAAGTTTAAACCAGGCAGATAGACACTGATCAAGTCATTGCCCCGATTAAAATGAACTAATGAATAATTGTGAGCTGCTGTGATCAATCAGAGGGGAGCTTGTAGGTAATGTTCCCATGTATTCATTGCCTCTTGGCACTATAGATCATGGGTCTGGATAGTGCTCTCTTGGAAGCCTTGATGAGTTGTTACAGGATGTCTTATAGATGGTACACATTGCATTAGTGGTGGAGTGAGTAATATTGAAGGTGTTAATTGATTGGCAGCTCAATTGTGCTGCTTTTATATTGGATGATGTCAAGATCCTTTAGTGTTGCTAAAGCTGTACTCATCCAGGCAAATTGAGGGTAGTTAATAAAGAACAAGGCAATATATATCTATCCCTCAATCAACATTGGTAAACGGATTATTTGGTCATTTATCACATTATCTGTAGATACCTCTGTGCAAATTGGCTTCCCAAAATTACAGCTTTTTCCTATACTTCAAGGAGTACTTAACTTGAGCACTTTGAATCTGCATTAATAATACACTGAACGCAGCCTCAAGACATTCAGTCATTCTTTTAATAAATGTTACTTTCACCAGACTGTCTCTTTGTTTTCACCCTTTCGTGTTTCTCGCCTCATCACTCTTCTCAAGCTGCTGACTATTGCTGGAGATAGTAGGAACTGCAGATGCTGGAGAATCCGAGACAACAAGGTGCAGGGCTGGATGAACACAGCAGACCGAGCAGCATCATAGGAGCAGAGAGGCTGATGTTTCGGGCCTAGACCCTTCATCAGAAAAGTGATAGGGTTAGGGTTAGGGATTGCTGGAATTTAGTTCCGTGATGCCCAGAAGCCCTCTGATACTGTGCAACGGCGTCATACCAGCATGGGGGAATAGCAGGCATCAATCTACCCTCACTTGATATTTGTATACACTTTATTAGACAAGCAAAATGGAAAAGCTTTCTTGTTACCCCCACCCAAGTGTTTCTTTCTTCACTGCAGCGCACAAGTGTGGAGGCTAGTTCACTGGACTGAACTTTTGCCCATTCTGTGTGCTTTTCCTTTTGTGTTTGTCCTTCAAGATGAGAATG